AGATGGTTGGATGGCATCATCGATTCAATGGACGTGAGTCTAATCTAAATCTGGGAGTTAGTGAAGGACAGGGAAGCCGGGAGTCTTGCAGTCCATAGGGTCCCAAAGAGTCAGAACAACTGAGCAACTGAAAAACACCAAGGTGTCATTTTGAGGGTGACTAGCATTCCTGCAGAACCTAAATCAAAAATAAATATCCTTATTTTTATTCTGCTTTCTACCATTTATAAATGCTAGCTCTTTCTTCTGGTAGGATGTTTCTGAAAAGATATTGACCAATAAAATAAAAGGACCCTCCCATTGTCATAAAGCTGACTGATAACCTCTATTCAGTTACATTTCCTATAGGCTGTCTGATTGAGAATCTGAGGTTTTGTGAAACTGTCTTAGAATTCTTTTTTGGCCTATTCATTAGGAATTCCTTCCTGAGTAGAGCTGGTTAGGCTTTAGCTCAGTTCAGTTCAGTTCAGTCGCTCAGTTGTATCCAACTCTTTGAGACCCCATGGACTGCACTATGCCAGGCTTCCTTATCCATCATCATCTCTCGGAGTTTACTCAAACTCATGTCCATTGAGTTGGTGATGCCATCCAACCATCTCATCCTCTGTCATCCCCTTCTCCTCCCTCCTTCAATCATTCCAAGCATCAGGGTCTTTTCCAATGAGTCAGTTCTTTGCATCAGGTGGCCACGTATTGGAGTTTCAGCTTCAGCATCAGTCCTTCCAGTGAATATTCAGGACTGATTTCCTTAAGGATGGACTGGTTGAAGCTGCTTGCTGTCCACGGGACTCTCAAGAGTTTTCTCCACACCACAGTTCAAAAGCATCAATTCTTCAGCACTCCTTTATCTTTATAGTCCAACTCACACATCCATACATGACTATTGAAAAAATCATAGCTTTGACTAGAAGGACCTTTGTTGGCAAAGTAATATCTCTGCTTTTTAATATGCTGTCTAGGTTGGCCATAGCTTTTCTTCCAAGGAGCAAGCATCTTTTAATTTCATGGCAGCAATCACCATCTGCAGTGATTTTGAAGCCCCCAAAATAAAGTCTGACACTGTTTCCATTGTTTCCCCATCTATTTGCCATGAAGTGATAGGACCAGATGCCATGATCTTAGTTTTCTGAATGTTGAGCTTTAAGCCAACTTTTTCACTGTCTTCTTTCACTTTCATCAAGAGGCTCTTTAGTTCTTCTTTGCTTTCTGCCATAAGTGTGGTATCATCTGCATATCTGAGGTTATTGATATTTCTCCTGGCAATTTTAATTCCAGCTTGTGCTTCATCCAGTCCAGCATTTCTCATGATGTACTCTGCATATAAGTTAAATAAGTAGAGAGACAATATACAGCCTTGACGTACTCCTTTGCTGATTTGGAACCAGTCTATTGTTCCATGTACAGTTCTAACTGTTACTTCTTGACCTGTATACAGATTTCTCAATAGGCAGGTCAGGTGGTCTGGTATTCCCATCTCCTTCAGAATTTTCCACAGTTTGTTGTGACCCACATAATCAAAGGCTTTGGCACAGTCAATAAAGCAGAAGTAGATGTTTTTCTGGAACTCTCTCACTTTTTCTATGATCCAGCAGATGCTGGCAATTTGATTTCTGGTTCCTCTGCCTTTTCTAAATCCAGCTTGAACATCTGGAAGTTCATAGTTCGTGTACCATTGAAGCCTGGCTTGCTTTTGGGGATTTTGAGCATTACTTTACTAGCATGTGAGATGAGTGCAATTGTGTGGTAGTTTGGACATCCTTTGGCATTGCTTTTCTTTGGGATTGGAATGCAAACTGACCTTTTCCAGACCTGTGGCCACTGCTGAGTTTTCCAAATTTGCTGGCATACTGAGTGCAGCACTTTCACAGCATCATCTTTTAGGATTTGAGATAGCTCAACTCGAATTCCATCACCTCCACTAGTTTTGTTCATAGTGATGTTTCCTAAGGCCTACTTGACTTTGCATTCCAAAATATCTGGCTCCAGGTGAGTGATAACACCATCGTGATTATCTGGGTCATGAAGATCTTTTTTGTACAGTTCTTCTGTGTATTCTTGCCACTTCTTCTTAATATCTTCTGCTTCTGTTAGGTCCATAACCACTTCTGTCCTTTATTGTGCCCATCTTTGCATGAAATGTTCCCTTGATAGCTCTAATTTTTTTGAAGAGATCACTAGTCTTTCCCATTCTATTGTCTTCCTCTATTTCTTTGCATTGCTCTCTGAGGAAGGCTTTCTTATCGCTCCTTGCTATTCTTTGGAACTCTGCATTCAAATGGGTATATTTTTCCTTTTCTAATTTGTATTTTGCTTCTCTTCTTTTCACAGCTACTTGTAAGGCCTCCTCAGACAACCATTTTGCCTTTCTTTTTCTTATGGATGATCTTGATCACTGCCTCCTGTACAATGTCAGGAACCTCCATCCATAGTTCTTCAGGCACTCTGTATCAGATCTAATCCCTTGAATCTATTTGTCAGTTCCACTGTATAATCATAAGGTATTTGATTTAGGTCATACCTGAATGGTTAGGCTTAGAAAATCTTAAATAGTCCATTTCCTAGGGACTAGTTATAAATACACTACTTTGGACCAGATGGGAGATGACCTACTTGACTGGGGATCATGGTTTTAAACTTACTATGTTACATGGTGATGGCATTCTTTTGTATTTGCTTGGTGCCTTTCAACCTCAGAAGCATGCCTACTTGGCTCCTTAGAGAAAATACCTTGATGTGTGGGCTTTTCAATGGGTGCTCATATAATGTGTTTGTAAGAGGCCTGAATCAAAACTACCTAAGTATCCAAGCAATTAATTGATAAGTATGAATGCTTAATACATAGATTTGTATTTATTGTTTTACACTAGAAATCAAGTAGTTAAGAGACACTAAGATATTCATGTTTTTGGGTCATATTATTCTTTCCCTAGAGGGGAAAAGAGGATGACCAATACTCTATATTGAGGACTATAACTGCCAAGGAAACCAAGAGGAAAAATATTTGAATCTGAAAGTAATTGTATCTGCTTCTCTGTTGGAAAGTCCATACCAGGATAGCCAACAGTTATTAGGAAACTTCTCAAGGAGTATTGTCAAGTTAGCCATCAAATGATATGAAACAGATGCACTTATTACACTGCAGGGATATACATGTCAAGGGAAATGGATGTTTCATGCTAATACTGCATGTAGGTATTGACAAATTCCTAATTTTCAAGTTCTCATTGTTTATTCACTTGTTTTAGGAACCATAAAGAATTTTTATCACCAGTGTAACTCGAATGGTTAGGTTTGACACAATTAAGTTATAGTCAGTGATCTACTGATGTCTGGCTCTCCCCCAAACTCCAAAATCATGGATTTGAAGCATTTGCCAACTTACGTAGTATACATTCTCCCAGCAACGCTAATTTATTTTACAGTAAACAACTGGCTCTCCTAATGTTCCTGAATATTTAACAGTGGGCTCTCTAGAGTCTGTACAAGTTAACCTAAGTGTATTACTAGCAGTTTTAACTAGTTGCAATCTAGTTTTGAAGTTGCATCTAGCTTTCTCCTGTTACTTTTTGATTAGATTCAGAAAAGACATTAACAAACTACCTCTTAAAGAAAATTATTTACAGATAACTGTACTGTATCTGTTTATGCTGAGCTGATTAGCTTTGTTTGTAGTTAATGACTTTTACGATGTGTTAGACAGAAGGAAGCTTACTATCATCTCTTAAATATCCTTTCATTCACATAGTATGTGTGGGCAGAAAATAAGCCACGGGGATAATTCAGTAAAGAAACAGTAGGAAGAAGTTGTCTGTGGGTAATATAAGACAAAACATTTAGGGAATGAGTATAAGGAAAAATAGAATGTATAAATGAGATTGATAGAGACATATTTTGAATTTAAAGGACCTTACCACATAGATAAATAGATAGTGTGGCTTATCTATTGTGGTTGACTGTGAATATTGTGATTAATTCAGTCTTCCATGTCCATCATTTAATTGAGTTCAAGTAATACCTAGGGCTGTCTTATAGAATGCATGCCAAACTCATAGTATCAATTTTATGAAATCATTTTATTACTATTTTTATTATTTATTTATTTAAATTTCTTAAACTTTTCATTTTCTAAGAAAGTATTGTTTATAAATGTTATAGAGACAGTAGCCGCCAGAAACATAGATTCCCCATTCCTATTACTCTGGATTTCTCCCTAGGAGTTATATGTTTGGAGTGTATGTAGAAACCACTCACACTTCATTGATAAAATCCTTGGATGGTAAATTGGCTGGGTAAGAAACAATAGATACCTATGCATTAGGAGATGAAGAAATTTCTTTGAGAGAATTTATCAAAGGGAAGGGCAGCCTAATAGGATGATCTTGACTCAGGAATAAAAAGCCTTTATTGCCACAGGTGCAAAGGAATTCTCAGTGTAGCATGGAGGCTGTTACACAAGTCTTGTAATTCTTTGCCATAAGTCTAGGTTCTGGGGATGAGGAGCTACTTCACTAGGTTTTTATGAAACATATTCCAGGTCCAAGAGAGAATACTTTAGGACACCTCTTAAAACGCTTGGTGTTATAACTTAGACCATATTTTCTAGAAATGGGCTGCTGAGATCCTTTTCATGTGGTTGGGTTTTATTTCCAGAATTCAAGAAAGAGATAGTCACAAAATTGTGTCATTACAACTAGGATCAGGAACGTACTTGAGAGCAAGAGGTCAAGTTCATTTCTAATCTCCCCTGGAAGTTTTCCCATCATTATCAGTGACCTCATAGCTGGAAAGTTTGAATTTTACCAAGAGCTATAAACACAGAGTGGCTTTAATTAAAGAAAAAGATAGTCAATATTTGTTGGTTTGACGTTTATAAGACAATAATTCTGGTAAAATCATATTCCATGAGAGAAACGGAAAGTTCTATTATGCTATTACCAGAAGCTGAGAATAAAATTAATTTAACTTGAAATAAATCTTCACAAAAGTTATAATAAACATACCGGGCAGCTTCTGAATATCTCTCCAGACATCTAAACACTGTTGCCTGACGAAGATGATTTCGGAAATAGGCAGGGTTTAAAACAATGCTCCTGAAAAGATAAAAGAAATGCAAATATTATTAAGCTCTTAAAAATCAATTTCCAGAAGTGTATAGGAATGAAATAACAGTCATCCAATTTTACATACATTTATTTTCAAAGATACAAGGAAATGGATCATTTTTTCTTCCTGTAATTGTCAGTTAAGACAAATAAACAAGCATTATTGAAAATTAAGTTTGCATGATAAAAGCAATTTTATTTATCACACTGGCTAACTTTTATAGCTATAACAATGATAAAGAATTTGAATCCAACTTTTATTACATATAAGACATAGTGTTATTTTATTTGTCACATGTTAATAAATTAGGCAAAAATCTCAGATTGTGGTATATCTACCCATGATGAAGAAGGAGATTGTTAGCTGCTGGATATCAGTTAAAGAGAGGAACTGGAATTTAGGTGACTTGCTCGTTTGCAATCCATGTTGGGTCCTGTGTCTTCTCCCGTGGACAATTGTAGTGAAATGGATGGAACACTGTACCATTGGCTAAGGATTCTGGTCCTCACCTTGCCACTTTTGGTAAGGCCCTTGTTTACTTTGGGTTTACATTTTCTTTTGCTGAAATTTCAAGGCTTGGTTTTGGATAAGATTATCTATCCTCACTTGATGACTCTTCCATTATGTCACAGAGTTCTGGAGTCACAATCCAAGCTCAGATGAGAAGATGATCACTCCACATCTTCCTTCTTTCCCTAGAGATAAACTGGTAGCTCTTCTTCTCCCTTGCTTCACTGAGAGCCAGGCACTGCTCAAGGCTTTTGATATAATGAGATGAGCTAGACATATGAAGAGCACAACTCATCACCAAATAAGGAGAGAGCCATTAGTGAAAGTTTGAGGGATAGCTTATATCAGAATGTGTTGTTTATGGATGTAAGATACATAATGTTACGGAACCAACACAGGATTATTAAGCAGTTTTTTTGTGTGTGTGCCTGCTTTTACAAGTTGATGAGAATCACTTGGAATTAGTCCATTAATAAAGGAGTGATTCTTAATCTTTTTTTTTTTTTTTGAGAGTTTCACAAAACTTTTCGAGAATTAAAGCTGTGAACCTCTGTCCATAAAAATGCCCATAAACATGGTTGCCTAAATTCAGGTAATTCATGTGATCCTTTAAGGCTATTCATGAGCTCCAGATTGAGAAAAACATGCAGAGAAGAATAATCCCATCACTTCATGGCAAATAGATGGGGAAACAGTGGAAACAGTGGCTGACTTTATTTCGGGGGGCTCCAAAATCACTGTGGATGGTGATTGCAGCCATGAAATTAAAAGATGCTTACTCCTTCTAAGGAAAGTTATGACCAACCTAGACAGCATATTGAAAAGCAGAGCCATTACTTTGTCAACAAAGGTCCATCTAGTTAAGGCTATGGTTTTTCCAGTAGTCATGTATGGATGTGAGAGTTGGACTATAAAGAAAGCTGAGGGCTGAAGAATTGATGCTTTTGAACTGTGGTGTTGGAGAAGATCCTTGAGAGTCCCTTGGACTGCAAGGAGATCCAACCAGTCCATCCTAAAGGCAATTGGTCCTGAGTGTTCATTGGAAGGACTGATGTTGAAGCTGAAACTCCAATATTTTGGCCACTTCTGATGCGAAGAGTTGACTCATTTGAAAAGACCCTGATGTTGGGAAAGATTGAAGGCAGGAGGAGAAGGGGATGACAGAGGATGAGATGGTTAGATGGCATCACTGACTCAATGGATATGGGTTTGGGTGGACTCCGGGAGTTGGTGATGGGCAGGGAGGCCTGGTGCGCTGCAGTTCATGGGTTGGCAAAGAGTCAGACATAGCTGAGTGACTGAACTGAACTGAAGAATAATCCCATTCCCAGAAACATTGCTTATGGAAAGAATAAAATAAAAAAGCTGCATCTATCTGACCCACATAGAGTCATAGAACTATATGATGATGAGGTGAATTGATTGACTAGTTTAGCTCACTTTAAACACACAAGTGAATAGAATCCAGAGAGGCTAATGGACCCCTCTAAAATTGTTTATAGTTGGTTGCAATGCTGCTTCAAGTTTATTATTATGTTTCTCATCTCTAGCCTTCGTAAGTTATCTTATTGCTTCTCTGTGACGATTTCTGAATTAAAGAAGCCTAGGTTAGTAAAGTTTTACTACATTCTATGACTAGAAATTTGTACAAATAAATACATTAATCCCACAAAAACACAGACCATTTGCTTTAGTGATTTCTGATTAAACTATTGGAAATTTAAAGCCTATTCCATGAGTTTATTCCACATCAACACTGAACTATTAATATCTAGTACTAATACTTTATATTAATTCAAAAAAATGTTAGTGAAATATGTTTGTAAATTTTATCCCTGTAGGGGTAATCTTGTAAAATTAGGTCAGAGTGAAAAGAGAAGTGCTCTGCCTAGGGGCCTAGGTCTTCCAACTCTGACCAGAAACTTTTCTTTCACAACATGGCTAATTCTTTCCTCTTACTCAGTAATCTTTATTCACTTAAGCATTTTTAGTAAATATCTGTAAATGTGATGAGACAAAATCCTTATGAATGAACATATTTTTTTCCTTTGTTGTCTTTTTGCCCATGACAAAGTGTTTTGGTTTTGCTGAGCTATTCTTCAAGAATCTTGCCTTGCCAGATGTGTTCTTTTCATGAAAATGGATTAGATTGGAGAGAAGCATGGGCTGTGGTGGATAGGAGGAGTAGTGATGAGAGAAGGGTTTAGTAAAATATAGGGCTACAGAAGAGGAGAGGTCATTGAAATGGTCTTGGAAGAGATTTTCGTGGGTAGTGAGATAAACACTGTTACAGTGTAATTTTTTAAAAGAATAGGTTTCTTAAAAAATTGCTTATAATTACAAGACCTTTTTATGGTGTTGAAGACATACAGTTGAGGACATGAGTTTGGAAGTCACTGTTGCTAAATTGGACTCAGTTCACTTCAGTTGCTCAGTCATGTCCGACTCTCTGCGACCCCATGAATTGCAGCATGCCAGGCCTCCCTGTCCATCACCAACTCCTGGAGTTTACTCAAACTCATGCCCATCGAGTTGGTGATACCATCCAGCCATCTTACCCTCTGTCACCCCTTCTCCTCCTGCCGCCAATCCCTCCCAGCATCAGGGTCTTTTCCAACGAGTCAACACTTCCCATGAGGTGGCCAAAGTACTCGAGTTTCAGCTTCAGCATCAGTACTTCCAATGAACACCCAGGACTGATCTCCTTTAGGATGGACTGGTTGGATCTCCTTGCAGTCCAAGGGACTCTTAAGAGTCTTCTCCAACACCACAGTTCAAAAGCATCAATTTTTTGGTGCTCAGCGTTCTTCACAGTCCAACTCTCACATCCATACATGACCACTGGAAAAACCATAGCCTTGACCAGATGGACCTTTGTTGGCAATGTAATGTCTCTGCTTTTTAATATGCTATCTAGCTTGGTCATAACTTTCCTTCCAAATAGTAAGCATCTTTTAATTTCATGGCTGCAATCACCATCTGCAGTGATGTTGAAGCCCAAAAAAATAGTCTGACACTGTTTCCACTGTCTCCCCATCTACCTCCCATGAGGTGATGGGACCAGATGCCATGATCTTAGTTTTCTGAATGTTAAGCTTAAAGCTAACTTTTTCACTCTCCTCTTTCACTTTCATCAAGAGGCTTTTTAGTTCCTCTTCACTCTCTGCCATAAGGGTGGTGTCATCTGCATATATGAGGTTATTGATATTTCTCCCGGCTATCTTGATTCCAGCTTGGGCTTCCTACAGCCCAGGGTTTCTCATGATGTACTCTGCATATAAGTTAAATAAGCAGGGTGACAATATGCAGCCTTGACGTACTCCTTTTCTTATTTGGAACCAGTCTCTTGTTCCATGTTCAGTTCTAACTGTTGCTTCCTGACGTGCATACAGGTTTCTCAAGAGGCAGGTCAGGTGGTCTGCTATTCCCATCTCTTAAAGAATTTTCCACAGTTTATTGTGATCCACACAGTTAAAGGCTTTGGCATAGTCAATAAAAAGGAAATAGATGTTTTTCTGGAATCTCTTGTTTTCTTGATGATCCATATTGGCGATTTGATCTCTGGTTTCTCTGCCTTTTCTAAAACCAACTTGAACATCTGGAAGTTCATGGTTCACGTGTTGCTGAAGCCTGGCTTGGAGAATTTTAAGCATTACTTTACTAGCAAATGAGATGAGTGCAATTGTGTGGTAGTTTGAGCATTCTTTGGGATTGCCTTTCTTTGTGATTGGAATGAAAACTGAACTTTTCCAGTCCTGTGGCCACTGCTGAGTTTTCCAAATTTGCTGGCATATTGAGTGAAGCACTTTCACAGCATCATCTTTCAGGATTTGAAATAGCTCAACTGGAATTCCATCACATCCACTAGCTTTGTTCATAGTGATGCTTTCTAAGGCCCATTTGACTTCACATTCCAGGATGTCTGCCTCTAGGTGAGTGATCACACCATTGTGTTTATCTGGGTCGTGAAGATCTTTTTTGTACAGTTCTTCTGTGTATTCTTGCCACCTCTTCTTAATATCTTCTGCTTTTGTCCATACCATTTCTGTCCTTTATTGAACCCATCTTTGCCTGAAATGTTCCCTTGATAGCTCTAATTTTCTTGAAGAGATCTGTAGTCTTTCCCATTCTGTTGTTTTCCTCCATAACTTTGCATTGATCACTGAGGAAGGCTTTCTTATCTCTCCTGGCTATTCTTGGGAACTCTGCATTCAAATGGGAATATCTTTCCTTTTCTCCTTTGCTTTTCACTTCTCTTCTTTTCTCAGTCATTTGTAAGGCCTCCTCAGACAACCATTTTGCCTTTTTGCATTTCTTTTCCATGGGGATGGTCTTGATCCCTGACTCCTGTACCATGTCACAAACCTCCATCCATAGTTCATCAGGCACTCTGTCTATCAGATCTCGTCCCTTAAATCTATTTCTCACTTCCACTGTATAGTCATAAGGGATTTGATGTAGGTCATACCTGAATGGT